AAAAAAAAAACAAATTTTCAGAACTGATATCTCACCACGCTAACAGCCAACACTTAAAATTCTGTCTATATAGCCTAATAACAGATCTTAATTTAGAAGATCGCAATATTACTGCAATTCATTTTTATTAAAACATAATAAACTAAGAAAAACGCTGTTCACTAGTTAAACGCTGCGGCCATAATTTCAAACCGTTATGCCAATAACCGGTTTCAGATTAATTTCAGCTCATGTTAATTCAATCAAGAATATCCTCAAACAATCTCAGCCAGTTGCAAGTCTGCCATCAGGGACTGAAAACAAATCTCTTCAAACTGGCCTGCAGGCACAGAACACGAGCTACTCGGTTCCGTCTGTTAACACAGTTTCACAAGCTGATTAGCTGTAGCACACAGAATTAAAGACGGGAATCTCACACTGGTAGTAATTGTATTATTTCACAACGACATTATTATTGTTATTTTATTTATGTATTATAATATATAATATTATTATTGTAATAATATATTAGCCTAGCACCCGGATTAGGCCTTTTAATTACGAGTTCCCGAATTTAAATGTGTTACTTAGGCACTGTAATTATGATCATTATAATTATTAATTTGATTAATAATAGTATTATTACTGCTACCTGGGATGTGCAGGGGCCTGTTGGAGTGAATGTTTCCGGGACTGATGGGGCTCCCGGCTGAAGCGCGCTCCATCAGCAGCCCGTGGTCCGCCCGGCAGAGCAGCTCCTCGTCCCGCAGAGAGAACTCATCTCCCGGGAGCAAATGCCTGCTGCACACCGAGCATCTGAAACACTCCATGTGATAGACGTTATCCCGGGCCCTCATCACCAGGTCACTGCTGCAGAAACCGGTGTTACATTTGGCGCATTTGATCCCGAATAACCTGCGATTTCCAGAAGAAACCTTTTCTTATTTTAGTGTTCGTTTCCAAAATCGTTCATCCCACCTCAGCTTGATAGCTAGCTATTACAAGGCCGAGAAACACGGATCGTACACAACGATACTCTTTTCTTAAAGCATTTAATGCATTATAAAAACAGTAATACACATTATAAAACATGCATTTATTCTTTCATGAATATTTGTAAGCGCAGTATAGGCTTACGCATTTATTTCTGGGCGCAAAGGAGTTTAAAGAGTATACATTCTAACATTGAGTGTCTGACAATTGTTTTGATGCATTAGTCTTTACACCTTATACGTTATAGTAGCTATATCTGAGGTTTCATAGCCTATATTTATTAGAGCATGCATTTAATATCCTATAATAAGGTGTAGCCTATTCGACAAAATGAACACATTATATTGCATCATCAAGAATACCCTTACAGGCTTTACATAAAGTATTACCAACGGAAATATATTTCTTTACAAAGCAAACTTCAAAACAAAACTGAACAAACACCTGTACTAGAAAACAAGCATGGCAAGCCTAAATCAAACATGACTGTAATATACAGTATAAACCAAACACTCAAGCCATATTTACATGCTTGGAATTTTGCTGAAAAAGAATGACAATTTCCGCTAAATATCTTAGCTATTATATTTAGCCTACAATTATATTATATAGTATAGTAGCATAGCCTAATGTAATAATATAATTGTAATCTATAGGCTACTTTTACCTTCGCAACACCGGCTTTTTATTAGTTAGTTCATGGTAAAAACGCGACTGCAGAGTTTTCCCATATCTCTAGATCTGTTTGGGTCGGGAATCTGTGAAAAAGAGGGCCTCGACGAAATTCCAAAGCTGTGAAATCACAAATATAGAGTGGCTCGTACCGTACGTAATCTCTCTTGCAATAAGTCTTGCCGTCTCGGACGAAGCAAGTGCACGTCTCG